AGTGGGGACAGACAGCGGGCTGGAGGCCGGAGCAGAGTGGGGACAGATAGCGGGCTGGTGCCCTGAGCAGAGTGGGGACAGACAGCGGGCCGGAGGCTGGTGCAGAGAGGGACAGACAGCGGGCTGGAGGCCCGAGCGGACTGCGACAGTTGTTGGACTGGAGACCAGTACAGGTTGTCAGTGGCCTGCGAGCCCAGGCAATCCATGTGTGGAAGCCTCCTGTACTGATCTACTGCAGGCACTTTATGGAAAGACTGTAATGCTTATCTTTTTAACTAACTTATTTTTCTAACTTATACTATGAACCACTTTAACTAATGTAACTTTTTTCCCTTTCTTTTTCCTATTATTTCTGTATTTTGTATCTAACATCTGTACCTGGGTACTTTGTACCTAAGATGGTGCCATATGGGGTGACATTGTAAACTTTTCACTGTACTCTTATATAGAATACTTGAATAGATGTGACAATAAAGGATATTCTAATTCTAATTCTAAGTCCCAACATTCAATCCTGTAATTTACATGAGGTCAGCGGGCAACCTCTGAGCAGGATGATTTGCCACCAACCTCCCAATGAGAACGGCCGGAGAGATCACAAGTGGGTTTAATGACTCACTGTGTTTAACTTTAGAGAACCAGCCTGGTGCTAAAATCAAACTTTATTTGTCATTTGTTGATAGGAGTGAGTGTTGCTGGCTGGGTCAGCATCCATTGCTCGTCCCAATTGCCCTTGAACACAACGGCTTGTTGAGTCAAGTGAGAGGACAATTAAGAGTCAACCACATTGCTGAGGGTCTGGAGTCACATGTGAGTCAGGCCAGGTAAGGATGACAGATTTCCTTCCCTAAAGTACATAGTAAAGCAGGTGGATGTTTAGGACAATCAACAATGGTTGCCATTAGACTAAGTTTTAATTCCAGATCTTTATTGAATTCAAATTACACCATCCACCATAGTGAGATTCAAACCCATGTCCCCAGAACATTATTCTGGAACTATAGATTACTAGTTCAGTGACACTACCACTATGCCACCACCTCTCCAATGTCTTTGCTTCTGCATTATCCTTGTCCCTCAACATATTAAAGATTAAATGGGCTACTGTCTGAGGATCTTAAGGACCAGGATGTCTGGGGAATTGTCCTTAAAAGAGCTACTTTACCAGAGTATTGATATGTAACATTCCATGATCCAGATAATGGGATTTAGGAAGAGTCCATAGCCAATCTGTGAAATCCAATGCGAGAAGTATGGCATGATTTGAGGGACTCCCATGTAATTGTCACAGTCCAGAAAATCAGTGCAACTTCAGGATGCTGTAAAGAGGCTTTAAGCTATTTGTTATTTTCAGAGTGATGGCTATGCCTGGTAAATAGATAGTAAACAACACCACAAATCAGGGTTTGCGAGACTTTGTTGGACCAATTATACAGCTCTGAATAAAGCCCTAGGGCATGCTAAGGCTCAGAATTAGGTTGTGACTGCAGTATGACACAGATTTGGCATAACTTACTGAAGTTGGACATAGTAAACATTTGCTGCGGCCTCTGGAAACTTGAGACTGGCCAAAACAATGTTGCTTGTGTCCTAATAAACAGCAAGTCTGGTGTATCTATTCTCCTGTGCTGAACTAAACTGACTCCTGGATAAATAACACATTGATTTTAAAATTCTCATCCTTGTTTTCAAATCCCTCTTTTGCCTCCCTTTTCAATTCTGGCCTCCAAATAATTGTGTCTTTACTGTTTGCCAATCCTAAGCACTGGCATTTCCAGCATAAACTATTCTTTCACTATTTATGTCGGTCTTAAACTTTGCCTTTTGACCAAGTTGTTTTATAATCTGCCCTAAAATTAGCTAGATGGCTTAATGTCAAATTTTGTTTTATAATGACCCTGTGATGCAACTTGGACATTTTAGTACATCAGCAGTGATTTATACAAGCAAGTTGTTCTTGTTGTTGTGATTAGAAATTTCCAAAACGTGAGATTTTGATTTCAATGGAACTGAACATTTTTCTTATGGCAACATGCACACCAAGCAGAGTCTAACTTGTTGCTTTCATTCACACGTTGAAGCCCAATATATTTCTTCCTATGATTTTATACTAATTCTCTAAAACTCATCATTGTTCTGACTCCCTCTGTTATTCCCACACCTTGACAGTTCCACAAATTAAGCCAAATTATGTATCCTATCAATCTGATTGTCAGCCTGCAACGTTCATAATTTTCTTGTAAAATGCATTCAAACTAAAATCTTGGTTGAAAAGTTAATACCAGCCTAAAGAGTTGATGGTAGACATTATTGCACATCAATGTGCATGGTTTGAGGTGGCTCTTGCAAAAGCAAAAGATAGATTTTCTGCACACTCCGGTACTTCTGCGAGTGTAGAGGCAGCCATTTTCTGCTTTCTGGCACTGTGCAGGTGTTAAAGGGGAAGAGTAGCACTGTCCATTTTTGTCAATGCCTTAAGAGACTCTGCTTTCATCCAACACCATATTGGTGTTTGACCTAATAGAGGTCTACAAGATTATGAAGGGCATGGACAGACTGGACAGTCAGAAGCTTTTTCCCAGGGTGGAAGAGTCAATTACCAGGGGCCATGGGCTTAAGGTGCGAGGGGCAACATTTAAAGGAGATGTACAATGCAAGCTTTTTGCACAGAGAGTGGTGGGTGCCTGGAACTCGCTGCCGGGGGAGGTAGTGGAAGCAGATACTATAGGGACTTTTAAAGGGTGTCTTGACAAATATATGAATAGGATGGGAATAGAGGGATACGGTCCCTGGAAGGGTAGGGGGTTTTAGTTGTGACAGGCAGCATGTTGGTGCAGGCTTGGAGGGCCGAAGGGCCTGTTCCTGTGCTGGAAATTTCTTTGTTCTACCATGCATCAATGAGAGCATTGGAGCTCTAATGGAATATGGTGATTTGGAGCATGGCTGAAGTTTGCTCTTCTAATGATGTCAAGATAATAGATAAAGATCTGTCAAAGAAATTACAGGCCTTTGAAATGTGGATGCTAAGAAGTTTGCTTAAAATTTCACACACATCATAAGATAAATAAAGAGTGCACAACATTGCAAAAGAGTGACCCCCAATAAAGAAATGTCAGTATTTTGGCCATTTGATCTGAGCTGGAACAGATCTTTTCCAGAGGGCCAAGTGCAGGCCAGCAGGAAGTGGGCATGATCTACGTCGATGATGAACATCACAGAGTGGTTACAGGTAAATTACAGTAAATGTGCGAGGACGGTGCAAGGCAGACAGATGTGGAATAGCAGATCTCCTGGTAGGAATAGCCGCAACCAGGACCTGAGGAGAATAGGAAGTCAGTTTTATTTTCTATACTTTTTTCCCCGCTTTTTTCGCATTATCTAATGCGAAAAGATTGAAACTTCTTCAGTAGACACACTTTCATTTTCTGCATGGGAAAAATGCTATTGCTTCTACAATTGTGCAGCATTTTGTGGAGATCCAGCTGATAAAGTTACCTGAATGATAGGGTATAACGAGCGTCATTGACAAGAACATTTTGATCTGGTCCTTTCCAGCTCACAGTGGGTTTGGGTCGTCCACATACTTTACAACGTAGTATGACTGTTTCACCAATAGCACATGTCAAATCAGCTAAGGGGACGAGAAATTCAGGTGGCACTGTATGAAAGAGAAAGACTGGTGTCAGTGAAAATAAAATCTAAAAATGTAAAAGATGTACAATGTCTGAGTCCAATCAAATGAATCAGTATTGTAATCAATCTTAATAAATGCAGCTTCAGTACCAAGACTACAGAAAATGATAAACGTACCTTCATGAATAAAATTTGGATTTAGCAACTGTGAAAAAATGAAAATTTGCAGTCAGTAAATTATTTTATAGAAAGCTTTTTCCAAAGGTTTGTCATTTAAATTAAATGAACAGGTTGTTGGCATGACAGGTATTTTAGAAAAACATCCCCTAATCATAAAATGGTATTACTAAACTGAACTAAACAGGACAATGTTTAATCATCTTAAATATGCCGCTATCTATGGTAGAATACATGCACCTTGATTTTAAGTACTTTCAATCTGGAGGACTGCCAAGGACATCCATCCAAAGCTGGGTGGGTCTTCTTTAAATGAGCACATTGGTGTCTGACAAGGTTAGAGGGGACCGTTATTGCATTTTAACGTGAAGTTCAAGCAGGGTATCAAAATAAGCCTCCCCAAAAGGCAAAACCACCCAAAACACAAGAGGCCAACTTAAGTAAGCTTTATTCACTTTTACTTCCTTGTAAGGCAGTACATTTTCAATGCTCCTCCAAGGCTTTGGCCTCCTTAATGCTGGTTTCTCATCACCCCAAGCTTACCAGCTTCCCTCAATCCCTCAGACATGTGTCACTTTTCACGTACAAGCAACATTATTTTACCCCAACAGACACAGCCTCACAGTCCTTCATCAGGCTACACACACCACATACCTCCTTTCTCTTTGTGGACAATCAGCAGACAGCATGTCAGGATGACACAATGCCTGCTTCCTGGGCAGTCTCTCAAAAGGCACCCAGATGGTCTA